AAGGTCAGAGGAGAGAACAGAGCAGAAGGTCAGAGGAGAGAACAGAGCAGCGGCCCACTTGTGGCAGCAGACCCACATTACACACATTAGCGCCACCTCAAGTATTGGAAATGTTCATCTGTAGTTTAAATGTAAATCCTTTTATCTGCCTACATCCCCCAGAATGCTGTGTGGTTTGGGACTACAGCTCAGTGAGATCACACTGCTTCCATCCAATATATTTTCCACTCATATTTTTGGTTTTATTTCTCTTCTCTTCAGTGTTTAATCAGACGTTTTCCTCTAAAGGTTTTTCTCTCCAAGCACCTGGAATGAACGGATGAATAATCAACATGCAACCACTTGGTTGAGAGGCGCCTGCAACAGGCGGGGGAGGGGCCCCTGAGGACCAGGACGGTTCTTACCTTCAGAGGAGAGCTGCTCGTACTCATCAGAGACCATGTGGGCACACAGAGGGAACTCATCCACTTTGGCTTTCTTCCTTCCCAGGTCAAAAATCCTGATCTTAGGATCTGAAATAAGAGGAAAAACGTTAGAAGACTGGATCCGAGGAGAATGGAGGATTTCATCCACAGGAATCGGTTTGTCTCAGCGGTCCCTTAAAGCCCTCAGCACCTCGCAGCTGAGGACTTACACAACCACAGAATCACTGTCTGCAGCCTTTGCACACCGGAGCCGCACTGCAGCAGAACCGGTCGGCTTAATAAGCTGCAGAACCAGCGGCTGGACGCCACCGGTGACGGTCCTTTGGTTGGTTTGCTCCAAATAAAGTCCAGATTTAATAAGAACTGGATCAATTAATTCACCAGGAACCGAATTCATCCATTCCTTCCTATATCGTGTATAAAGAACCTCATAGGAGCCTTTAAAACACAACTACACCTTTAATTTGGCCTGAAAACACCAGGAAACAATAAAAGCATTTTAAAGCAGTTGATCTAAATAAAGCAGATGTGATCGACATTTTCTCACATTGGAGAATTTCTTGCACGACTGGAGAATCGCTCAGAAAAGGGCAAAAAAACAACAGTTTACTCCCGGCTTAACTTTAGTAAAGAGACTCCTTCAGTTGAGCGACCCGATTAGCGCAGGAATTATACAAACATTGAAAATATACATTTTGCATTTAAGCTTAGTCTTTTTCATCTGTAAATCTGCTCTACAATTCAGAACCCTTTAATTTCAGCTGGTTTAAATCTGTAACCGGTCTGCTATAAAGTATCTGATCATTAATCAATAAAATAAATCAACCAGTTATCAGGTCCTACTTTAGTGTCTCAGTTTCACCTAGGCAGGCAGGATTAAAATGCTGACAGAAACCAAGCGGTAAAATAAAACGGGCTTTTTTTTGTTCAAGGGAGCATCGGCGTTTGGGACAAAGGATATTTTTAGGGAACCTGGAGTCAGGGGATCCCTGCAGCGCCTCCCAGACCTCAGGAACTTTAAGAACTTGGTTAAAAACAAAGATGAGGTAGACCCGAGCCAAGCAGCGGGTCTCTGTAATAACTGAAGGACAGACGAAGCATTAGCGGTTCTCACCAGGAACTCCTCTGCAGAAGCGAGACTTGGGGTAAGGCTTGTTCTTGCAGTAGCGGTAGCTGAAAGACAGAAGACATGGTTCAGTGGCTTCCCTAAACCTCTGCTGACATGAGCATTAAAGTCTTTACATCTGTTTGATATCCTCAGAAATATCCCTGACTTTCCCCTGGAGAAAGATCCCTGAGGGAAAACAGCTGTTAGCATCCCGTTACCTAAAGAACCCTTTGGTGAAACATGGTGGTGGTGGCCAAGCAGGACAGTCTGTGATCCTGAATGGAGGACACCAACCAAAGCAGCCTGCTAAAACTGGTGTAAGGCAGTGGTTCCCATTATAATGGTGCTCAGGGACCCTGGAGGTTTTAGATACCTCTGTTTCAGCTCTTCTCAGTCAAACCAGGACTGCTGCTCTTCTACAGTTAAGCTCTACAGAAGCCTGTTAATCATATGGAACCAGCAGGCCGGTCCCTGAGGGCCGGTCTAACATTTAAATGCTGTAGAAAGGTCTAGTCAAAGCCCAGAAGTGAATCCCACTGAATAGACTTCAGACTTTAGGTTAACTGCTGTTCTTCAGGGAAAAAACAATCCAGTCTGATCTATTATGGCACTTCTTATATGATATAAAAGCTTTATTAGCTCAGATAATGTTAGCTTCACACTGACCGTCCCTTTAATGTCCAGGATGTATGCTAACATGCATGGAGGGCTGTGAATACTTCTGCAGGCTAGTTGATTCTGATAATACATGAGACCTGCTGACATATAGAGACCTGTAAACCTGCAT